AATTTTTAAAAAAAATACATTTTTTTAAAAATTCATCAATGAAAATGCCCAGTGAGTGGAAAATATCGGTTTCTTCAATTTCATTATTTTGAGAAGTGCTTGGTTTTACCACGATGCCACGCAAATTATCTTGAAGTTGTGCTGATTTCGGGTTCTCTAAAGAAAAAGAAGCCTGAAGTAGAATCTATGAATTCATTGTTGAATCAGGTTTTCATTTGTCCATTCTGTTTTGTCTAAAACTTTAGCGCAACAACAACAACGACATCCATACAAGGAACTGTGCAAATTCGTGCTGTTAAATTTTGTGTAAGGTGGTTGGAAATGTGCCGCAACATTGGCATTGGTCGACAGCTGGTCAGACATGGGAAAAAATACTGTTTGTTTAAGTAAGAGTTTTACAGCATTTGCAACACAAGGAGGTCATTTCAAGTGCCGAAGATTAGAAGTGTTACAAGAGAGTAACAAACACAAAAAATAAGAAGGAAAGATAAGGACGAAAGATGTTTGATAGGAAAGAAGGAGCAAGCAGCATCAGAGCACCCTCCAACCACCCACAAGAGAAATACATTGCACACAAGAGCATCTCAGGACGTCCCGTATTGCCCTCCGCCCCCCTCCTCCCTCCCCCACCCCAACCCCCAGCAATAATGTGTGTCTCTGCCATATCTTTTAAGGGTTAAACTATAGGTCAGCGACAAGAACAAGACACAGGACGTCCGCTGCCCCCCTCCCCCTCCCCAACCCCCAGCAATACTCCGTGTCTCCACCATGTCTGTTAAGGGTTAAACTACAGGCCAGCGACAAGAACCCGACTCTGGGCGTGCCAGCTGACGCCAGGTTCTATAATGGTGGCGCACGGGGGTTCGTCAGAATAGACCTATACTACGCCGGGCTAATATTATTATGGGCTCTTACTTTAAAAGACAGTAAATCCAGTTTCGTAAAATGTTCAAGAGAGCTAAAAAAAAATTGCTTTTCAACAGCCAGTCGATTTTTTAATATCTTCAAAACACTTTCCGCTCGTTATTTATTAATTAAGGTATCGATACTAGACTAAGGCTAAGACAGAAATGCACACCGTGTTTTTTTAATTACCAAGTGGATTCGATAACTCAATTTCGTCCAACTCTGGATATACTGTCTTTTCAAATAAAACATCCAGTTTGGGTGGGGCTGCCATTAACCTGTGTCCGTTCGACTCGACTAATCAGGATTCACGATTTTGTTCACTATTCGCTGCTATTCGAAGTGTGGCAGAGCCGTTCGAAAACCGTGCTTTTTTGTGCTTTAAAAATGTTTGTCTTTTTTTAAAAACGAATTTTGGATATTCGTCCTTTTTTTTCTTTTTCAATCCATTGTAATTGCCTATCTTTTATTATCCTTTTGTGTTGCAAGCGCCGTAAAACTTACTAAAACTAAACTAAAAGCTTAATTGCTTTTTTTTTAAATCATTGAGGTAAACACAGAAATATTACCATTTTGTACTTGAGGATTACAAGACGGAGACAGAGTGGTAACCCCCACTGGGACAATGAAGTCTCATCCTATTTCAACAGGAGCCAACAAGAGTACTGGATAGCGAATTTTGCCGAGAGACTTAAGCAAGGGAAACCCCAAAACATAATTTGCATATGAATATGATATTCGGATATCCCGAATTGGGACTTAACGCTTCGAAGCGTCGCCGAAGTTTCGTTTCCTCAAAATCGTCCAGTGTACCGCAGGGCGGGGCAGCTGGGTTATGAATGAGAGAGTGAGTGAGTGAGAGGGAGAAAGTGAGAGAGTGAGTGGGTGAGAGGGAGAAAGTGAGAGAGTGGGTGAGAGAGAGTGAGAGAGAGAGAGAGAGAGAG